AGATACAAATTGGGCAGGTGGTATGAACCATTCTTTGCAAGCTGATCCCCACAAGACGCAAAACAATACTAACGTAAAAAGTGTTTTCTGTTTACCTTTTTGTGATTTATACATTAATATATTATATTTTATTACATGCTTGATTGAAAATTTGCACGAAGGTTCTAAGGAAAAGGAGAAAAATAATAATAAAATATGAGTAAGTACCTTTTATTTGGCAAGTATATAATTCTAAATGTAATATATGTAGGCTTTTCTGTGTGGTCATTTTATATAAGCTATTTATTTATTGAATTTACAGAAAATGCGCTATATCATGATATGTATCGTTATCGAGATATGAAATGACCTATATCAGGATATGAGATTCAGAACATGAAAAAGATGACAAATTGAATGGACTGTAAACTGAAATCTAATTTTAATTAATAAATCAGTATCACTTTACTTGACTGGGCGCAAATGCTTAGTAATTATTCAGTTACCACTGAAGTACCAATCATGAACAAATCATGAACAAATATATTTGCTACTTGAGATAAAAGATGTGTCCACATGTTGTGGAGTTTGAAGTTCTGTAGCCTTTTGAACGTGGGAAAAGGGTCCAATGGGTGACCACTTCACCAAATGAGCAGGTAAGCTGCCATTTGTGAAGGGGATGTGATGTGACATGGACATATGTACCCATCCAGTGAGTGAAATGGGCAGAAATGCTTTAAAGAGCTGAAAAATCACAAGCATGCTGCCAGATAGGGGAATAAATCCTGTGCAGCTGATGTTTTGTAAAAATACTTGTATTGAATTTAATTCAGAAGTTTTAAGGAACTAGATTAGTAACTTCTCGATACAATTTAAATGGTCAGTGTTAGACATGCAGGCAATATGGGATATAACTATAAGCACACACCGCCTGTAAATTGTATCTACAGACATGTGTACTGGAGTCAGCAGGTCTTATGTCACATTGAACAACTTGTATGTTGAATACATTTGCACAGGGTTGAAATGCAGTCCAAATGGAACTACTGGAAGTACAAATCTCTCTCCTTAATCTAGGTTAGATTACGACTTGGATTTGGTTGCATTTAGTTTGTTGTGAACTGAGTGCCTAACGTTCCATGCTTCCATGCTTCTAGCTTGTCCTTTTCCAGTTCAATTATGCAGTAGTGATGGAGCTCAGAGTAAGGGGGATTTCTGTGGACCTGTCAGTGCATGGTATTAATTATTTCCATTAGCCTGGTTTCATCATTTCTCTTGTAACAGCTCCCTCATATCCATTGCACAATAATCAATACAGCCTTTCACTCCTCATTGATCCCAGCAGGGTCCACAGCCACTGTTCCGCTGTTGCTTTGAGGCATGTTCCTCAGCATCTCCCCACAGCTGTGCTGTTCCTGGGCCCTCCCACACTGGAGTTCATCTTTACATCTAAGCAACAGCCAATTCCTCCACTGATTTATAATGCTTCTTCAGCCAGTGGTTTGTGCAGTGTTTTTTTTCTTAAAGATCATGTGAAACCAATTGATCTTATATTTGGATAATAATCCCAAGTTCCCTGGTTCTAACAAGCTACTACCTCTGTGATTCATAAACAAAACACTTTGAGCCATATGGAGGGCCGACCTGGACTGTTGATTTCCATTTTGATGGACATTTCTGTACTGCAAGCAATTGCTCGTCCAATGAAAGGTTAAATGGCACTTTTATGAAACTTACATTAGAGCTGGGCGATGTCTAAAAAATAGTATGCAATATTTAAAAAATATTGCTAAATGATGATAAGATCAAGTCATTCGAACTCCCACCCCTCCCCCCCCCAACCACAGAAACATATATGAACAATAGTAGCTTTAGATCAATAATCACTGCTCTACATTAATTCTGGTGTTTCTATTTTGTGATGGGTTAAAATGCTTGTTCCCTAACAACTAATCCTGCCAAGAGGGGCCTGGGGAAACATATGAAAATATGGGATGTATCATGTATTTCCATGGATCAGTATGGGACATAACATTTCATTTTCTAGTACAGGATGGTCTATATACCACAGATTTTAAACACATTCTCATGCAGAGCTCATGAAAAAGAGGTGGCGGTAAACTTTAAAGTATTGTTTTGACATATACTAGGTAATCTTGTAAACAAACAATCATTTAAATAACAATCAAATGTTTTAGTGAAATATAACTCCTCACTGCACTCTGTGAATTTTATTGCCAAGATTTCTAAATACCGGAACTGTATTGAAAAATAACAGTTTATGAAAATACCTTATGCCGTGATATAATGGGCATGCACTATGCAGGTATGCAAAAGCTTGATCTCAACCCAGTTTACAATTAAGGTCCTTGAGATGTGAAAATTGCATGTCTCACAATATCGCACATCGGCAAGCCCTACTTAGTATTTTTTGTATTCTAATAGTGCTCTGTCATGTTAATTGTCTGTTATCTGTGGAGAAGGCATTCAGGTAAGAATTTCATTGTACTTTGTACATATGACACTTCATTCTTAGCTCAGATTGAATTGGGAAGCAGAAGAATCTTAAACTGCATTAAATTTTGAATATGCTGTACACAGAGGCACACTAATGTTTTGAATATTTTTTCTCTTACCTCTGGAAATATTCCATTTTGAATATCTTCTAGCCACTCATTCTAAAAACAATCAGATACCACTGGAGTATCAACTGTACCGTATATAGTCCTGTTACAAAAGATGACGATATTGCCCCCAAGATTTTTGGTGGTACTGCGTCTCACATATGCGAAGCATTAATTCCATGCATAGCTGCACAAACATTGCATGGAATGAACGGAGTACATGCATGGTGGTCATGATAAGCATGATGTAAGCGAACATGTTGCGAGCCTTGAGTATAAATGCTTCTCAGCCTACTTCCCTGACCAAAGCGATAATCGCCAGTTTGTCACTGTCATATATTAACACCAGGATACTTATCTAATATCACTGATTACTGATAATATCATCATATCGTCCATACTACATTGTATTTCTTTGTTGTGGATTGATGAAAAGAACATCAGTTCACTATCATTAGAAGACGGTCTTTTGTTTAGACCCTGCCCATTTTTAGGAGAGCGCTTGTGTAAGCACAAAACTGGAAGGTTGTTCTGACTGACATTGAAAGACAGCCATGTAATCTTAGCCCCTAAAAGCTCTCCAAATTGTTGAGTAGCAGGGCAAGGAAAGCAGGGTTTGACAGTGCTCTGTAATGCGATACGGCTGGCTAGAGGCACAGATGTGAGCTGTTGTACCAATGGCTTGAAATCAGTGCTCAAATAAGCGCTGTCTGGCTGTGTTGCAGTTACTTTGTCACTGCAAGCATTCAAATCCACTGGTGCACAGATATGGTGGTAGCCCATGTGCTTGTAGATGCGCCAGGTTGAAGAGATCTCAGACTTTGTTAAAACATCATCTGCTCATTGGGGGGGGGGGTTTGGGCAAGCCAAGTCAGCCATGCACAATTGTGAAGCTGTTACCATGGAGGAGAAAAAGAGAATGATGTTAGTAGCTCAGTATCCTGTGTTCTATTGATTACAGCTGCTGAGGTTGTGGTTCTCCTGCTGAAATTACATGGGGGCCTGATGGTCACTGGTCACTACATTGAGTCAGAATTTAAAATGGTACCAATGGCTTGCTTACCATTGAAGGCAATAAATGATAATTAACTGCTTAGAAAGCGTAGTAAACAGTGGGCTTAAAAAAAAAACAAAAATGAAGCACTTTTGGCTTTGTGAAACCCAAGCATGAAAGCTGAAATACGTCCATTAACAGGCCCCAGACATCATATTAAGGACAAAAATGCCAGTGTGATTGACTGATCCAGCCCACTTTGCATGCTGTTCTGTTAATGTTTCCAGTTTGTTCAGGCTTTTTTACTTAGGGCTACATTTCATCATTCAGTCTAGCTTACTCAAAAGCCAAATAAGGTCATTGGGTGTGGCTACTAGGGGTATAAATCATTGGCCCCAATGTGATTTGATTCAATTGAGGTTATCGAGGGAACGATTCGAAACACTGGAAATCTTAACTGCGATGGGTTGCACTCCATCCTGGGTGGTTCCCTGCCTTGTGCGCCTTGTGTAGCCTCTGGGACAGGCTCCAGAACCCCTGTGACCCTGAATAGGGCAAGCGGTTTCAGAAGATGGATGGATGGATGGTTGGATGGACATCTTCAATTTCTATCACAATCTTATTCAATTAATCGATTTTTTTTTTATTACCTAAATTCAGACCTTTTTAACTTCACTGAAAATAAATACACAAATGCTGCCACGGACACTTTATACACTATTAACAAACAAACATGATTTATTTGACATTTGCACAAGTAGAGGGACATTGTAATGCTTCACTTTGCTGACCCCATCTTGCTCTCCGTAGCTTTGTGGATCAAAGTGCAGGGTCAGCTAAGATGCAGCACCCCTGGCGTTGGGGGGGAGGTTAAGGGCCTTGCTCAAGGACCCATGGACATGTGACTGTTCTGCTGAGGCTTAAACTGGCAATCTTCTGATCACAGGCACAGAGCCTTAGCCCACTGAGTCACTCACCACCCCCACCTTTATCTGACTTAATGGAATACAGATAAAGTAGAATCTCAACATTATGTTTATTGTTATTATCAAACAGGAAGAACCAGTCAGTGTAACATTGTCAATTTGACCACTACTGACCTGTACAGAAAAAACACAAACACATTAAATGAAGTGCAACCCGACTGGGAATTGCTGGTGGTGGAGCTTGCTGGTACAGATTAGTGGAATGATGTTACATCATTTTCAATTCTGTGGAAAAGATCCATCTGCAGGCAAGATTTAATAATGAATCAAGAACATGTTCTATGCTGGTACATTGAGACTAGGGCTGTGTGATATGACCAAAATGTAATATCCTAATAAAAGTCATCTTATATCCCGATAATGATATATATATCACAGCTGCACCTTGTATTTATGGATTTTTTTCTACAGATCAGCTGTGATAGGAATTGAACAAAAATCTGCAAATAAAAAGGAGCAAGGTCACAAAGGTAACGTGATCCACAAATAGATGGGAAGTCGGGCTGCATGATATATCGTTTTGGCATCGTCATCACGATGTACACACGTGCAATAGTCACATCGCAAGATGTGCGATGTCAAGTAATGTAAATTAAATTAGGCGGCATGTACAACGCTTTTGGTGTTTTTGCTAAACTAACAAATGTCACAGTGTTCTTATTCTTAAACAATCCACAAAAATCTGTCTAATATAATTTAGGTCAATTTAAAGGTTTTTGGATATGGAGCCGACACGCAGCTTTGCACGCGCAGCTAACAAACATGTCGATCACAGAACGAACCACCAATCACAAACATTCTTGATCAACTTGCTCCCTCTAGTCGTCATTTCACTACAGCATAAAAATGAGTGAGGAACTGGTTAAAAACACCGAAAAAAATGAAGATTTTGTTGCAAAAAGAAATGCACCGTCGGCAGAAAGCATGACGTCGACCAAAAACAGGTAATTTGTCGACAGTGCCTTGCAGTTGTTGCCACAACATGGGGAAACACAACTAATTTGTTTGATCATTTAACCTTACATTTGTGATGTGTACTGTTCCCGATAGTAGTCCAGTAACTTGTTTATCTCCTCATACTCATCCTTGTGACAATGTGCCAATGCCTATAACCAATTCCACGTAATAATGTATCAGTGATATCATTAACGAGCAAATTAAATGAGACAAGATATCTGCCGTGTGGAAATATGTCAAAGTTAACAACGAAATCCAAAGCACCGTGGACTGCACACTGCTGTACTAAAGCTGTGCTCAACTACAACACAAGTAATCTGGTTATACTAATCTAAAATCTAAAAATAAGGAAGAGTACGATGAAACCAGCAGCTCTGCAACAACCAAATGTGCATCAAACACTAACACAGAAGGAGAAAATGTCAATCAATAAACCTTGTACAGTGAAAACAGAAGCTCTTCCCAGTATTGATCAGGCACAATGCCGTAATGGTGCCACATGGCAAGTATAATAATCTGAGATACGCTGTATAAAAAGTTTGTCAAGCACTGCTTTAGAGGTTTCAGAGTTACATGTTTTAAAATCATAATTAAAGTGCTGATCCATCAATTTCCACAGAGACTAAAAAGGATGATCTGCACTGCTAGGATCAGCCCTCCCCTCCCACCCCTCAGGTGGCAAGTCATAAAGCCAGCTATTGTGTGGATTGTCTGTATATTGTCTTTTTCAGGCTTTCTAATATTTTTTGGCAAACAAATTACATGCCCCGCTTTGTGCTACGAATGTCAATATTATTGTTTAACCCAATATTTTTAAATTAACTTTAGTTTTCAGACATTGCACAGCCCTAATTGGAATTGGTATTGGTGAATACCAGAAAGAAATCAGTATCTCAGTGAATTAATTAATTAGGCTGGTGAAACTTAATGAATGCAAGGTATGGCTGGGGTACCCCTGAGTAATGGTTTGGGAACCAAAGTGTTCATCTAGCCAGCCCACAATTTATCAATGAGCAAAGAAGAAATTCTTGTTAGTTTTTTCTTGTGTTGCTTTTAATTTTCATATGTTTGTAAATTGTTTTTTTTTCCATTTACCACCCAGATTAATATATACATTTAAACATTTTCTTTGATTGCCTACGAATATTGCACAGTACTGTGTGATAGAAATGGCATTTTTTTCTCCACAGGGTGAAGCCAGAATCTACACTGTCAGGCCCTGTGCCTCTGCTGGGTGATTCTGTTCTCCCCAGCTTCAAAACCATTGGCTGTAATATTGAAAAATAACATTACATGAGAGAGGAAAGGTATCTGCTGTAACTGACAAATTAGCTAGACAGAGAGTAGCTTTTTATTACACTTTTTTGACAGGTTTGAGCATATATCAGCTTTGGTGGCATGTTTTCACCCTGTTTACCTGTCAGTTGAGAAACTAACTCTGACTTTATGTCAGAGGTTGGGAGGGAACATGGGTGCAGGTTGTCTCGGGCAAAAGAATCAGATGACTGGGTTTATCAGGATGATTTATACTGCTTGCCCTTCAATTTCTATGATTTGTAGATATTGGTATGTTCTGTTTTTGTGGTTTTTTTCGCTCCAGTAACCTGAGTGTCGGTGTTGACACCAGTCCCAAGTCTCTTAATCTTCACTTATTCAATTCCCTGTTCTGCCAAAACATATCAGTCTAGAGATTTCTTATTTTTTTTTTTTTTTTTTTTAAACCCAATGATTTTTTTTTGTTTACATTAGTGCCGAATTCACACCAACCAATTCCCATTCCTGAACAAACCTGCTAATTACTGCTCTTCCTGAAGCCTGTGTGCCCAATTCGTTTGGTGTCAAACAAGTATCAGAAGTTTGCTACCCAACCCTAGGACTGGAGAGTGATAAAGAGAAGGCCAGCTCAGACACTTGCTCTTTTCAGCATGATAACTCAAAAAAAATTTAATTATGATTTAAGCTGCGCTTTGTGACGATGTCAGTCATGGGCGGTCACTGATGATGTCATTTGGCGCTGGTACCATTTTTTATGCCAGTGGAAAACCGACACGAAAGAAGTACCATACTTTCGGCACTTTATGGAAGTATCGAAAGTACGGTACCTGGTGCGGTGGAAAAGCACCCTTAATTCGTCACCATACTGAGATATTTCAAAAAACTTTGTAGCAGCAGTTTGGGCAAGACCCTTTCCTGCTCCAGCACGATTGTGCCCCTGATGTTTCAGCCTAATTCTCAAGAGATGATAGAGCAATGAAAAATATGTATCAAGGGTTGACAGCAATAAAAATCAGGCTTTTTATACATTTGTATAACACAGACACTACAATAATGCAGCAACTAATCCAATCAGCGAGAACGCTGGAGGCAGACTGGATGAGAGTTTTGATGGGAAACGTGGGTATGGAGACAATGGGAGATGAGTTGTGTACTAAGTGCTACTGGGCTGGCGGATTTCACCATGTCATAGCCTGCACTCAGTTTGAAACTTATGAACCATTTATTTCTGGAATTTTCCAATTTTTTTCCCTACCATGGTAAACCCCAGTTAACTAACTGTGCTGAAACTGCAGATATGGGGGTCCCACTGTATTTACTACTTCAGTAATACTTGTTAAAATGCATTTTTTTAAAATAAGGTTACTGAAATGTGTTACTACCCACCTTTGTGCAACACATGAGGGCAATCAGCATAGAATAATTCGTAATTACTAAACACAATAAACTAACACAGTGGCCAAACATAATAGGTAGGGCTGACACCTCAATCCCATTAAACACCTCTGGGATGAAATGAAACACTGACTGTGGACCAGGCTTTCCCAGACGACATCATTGCCTGACCTCACTAATGCTCTTATGGCTGAATGGGCTGAAATTCCCACAATCACCTGTACAATCTAGTCGACAGCCTTCCAAGAAGAATGGAGGCTGTAAAAGCAGCAAAGGGGGGGACAAACTCCATATTAATGTCCATGGTTTTGGAATGGGATTTTCAACAAACACATATAATGGTAAGGTGTCCATATCCTTTTGGTCACATAATGTACCATGTCCATGATAAAAATTTCATGTTGATAACAATGTATCAGAATTCGCTGTGGTGTTGACCCCTGCTTACCACTCGTGCCGTACTGAAAAATAAAATTCTTTTTATGAATTGTGGTTAGGTGGTTAGGCAGCGTTATTTAGCAGAATTGTACAATATACATTTAGAGTACATAGCTGAGGCAAAAAAAACTAGGTGGCTAAGTGATTGTAATGAGAGAGGCCATGAAAAATGTGATTTTTTTGTTAGCTGGCTGGGAATTGTCACATTTCTAGGAATTATTGCATCAGCTCTCCCATCCCAAAGGTAAGTAAAGCATGGTGTGTTTTCAGTAACCAGACGTGTTTACAGCCATCTGTTGCATCATTTCTCATAAGGACTTAAATCTGTCAGTATTCTTAACCCCTGCTTGAAGATGGATTTCAGAGATACTTATCAGAAGTGTGAATGTTGTTATACCAAAAGCATTCGCAAATACGAAAGGATGTACACTGGAGCGGTGGAGCAGGCTTGAAGTCTTTCTATGAAATTAAATTACCTGCTCACCTTGAGCTGAAGCATGGTGTAAATCCATATGAAATCTGTAAAATGGAAAGTGAAGATTGCCTTGCCATGGATAAATTTCCTGGGTAACACTTTACTTGAGAGGGAATATATAATATAGTATTAAACTATTACTTATGTATTAAGCAGAAACTAAGTGTTAGTTACAAACTGATGTCATATTTATTCATCATCTTTTATCCCAAGCAGTTACTATATTTGTTGCCATATCTGTTAATTATGTAAACCTTAATGAACTACTAAGGAACCACTGAAGGAACAAGTAATGAATAACACAAGTGAAATACTGATCGTTTTCTCATCATTAATGAATTGTGATGCATATTTTATCTCGAGTAGGAACTATATTTGTTCATGATTTGCTCATAATTTGTACTTCAGTAGTAACTGTTATTAGCAAATATTTGTGCCCCATCAAGTAAAGTGTTACCGTTTGCTGCGTTCTTCCAGGAAAATCTGACCGCTCTTTTTTTGTGTAGCTTATAAAGGGATTGGGTAGTTGGGCTCAAATGGCTGTGAGTGTTTGGATGGAAAAAAATTATATAACTCTGACTGTGAAGACAGGCCTATAGCCACCAGGAAAGTAGTACTGCTCCACTATGTTTATTCCTACATATGATATGGCCCTATGTTAAGAGCCAGATCAGAAGGAATTGTGTTACATTCAGGTGCAACTGAAGGTCATCCATTGCATCCTCTGGACAGAAGCCTGTACCCTCTATGGTTGTAGCACTACACCTTGCTTTTTTTTCACTCCTGAATTTAGCATTCATGATCCCTAATTGCTCTAGGCACTCTGAAGGTGTGTGGGTGTGTTTGCCTGTAAGAGAAATGGAGACTTAATGTAGCTTTCTCTAATGGGCAACTACATTATGCAAGTTTTACATTTTTTTGCCATAATTATACGGCTGCTTCATACCTCTAAGCATGGACAAGAAGGATGTTTTTTAGCCTTCCTGAGGAAAATATTGGCAATCCAGCATTATGGTGTTTGGTTTGGCATTGCACCTTATTGAATGCCAGCATGTATCTGTCTAACGCTGGGGTGGGCAATCTTATCTGCAAAGGGCCAGTGTTCAAACCCAGGTGTGAAGACTCTTCAGTCAATCAGTCCTCTAATTAGTAATCTAATTAGGCAGCTGCAACGAAAACCCACATACACAGCGGCCCTTTCTGGATAAGATTGCCCATCCCTGGTCTAATGTGAGTATTTTGTTCAGTTGGGCTGCATCTTGCTCTTTGTTACATCTCCTAAGAGTAAAGCTAGGTGTTCTGTTTTAGTTATAATTCAGGCCTACCCTTAAGCACCTGTCAAGGAAGGGGGGCTTTGGTTTGGAACCCGTGAAGCATGATGAAAGCAATTGAGTGTCCTCTTTAAGCCCTGACCAGGTACAAGGTGATGATGATGATGATGTTCACAGACCAGTCCAGTCTGTCTCAAGGTGAACACCTAGATACTCATGTCTCCATCACTCCACTTTTTTCTTACATTCCCCAGATGTGCATTCATCCACAAAATTTGTCAAGTTCAGAAAATAAGTGCTGTGCCTGTTAATGACTCCAGCTGTACCCATTAGTATTTGCTAGTTAGCCCTAGCTAGGTGTTCCTGCTTCTGCCTTCCCTGTCACTGAAGGTACTCACTGAAGGCTATTTGTGGTATTGGGGGTTGGAGAAAGCACTGGGAAGGTGGGAATAAATGTGTATGTAATATTGTACTATCTTAAGAACAGTTTTTCTGCTGGGCTTCTGCTTTGAATTTGTTTATGATCTGTACTATTCAAAGCTTAACCTTTTGAAGAAATCTTACAAAAAAAACATTAGCCATGGAAATACTATAATTACACTTCTCCACTGGCATAGGAACCGAGGCTTACCTGAGCTATACTGCGAAAAGAGACTAGTTACAGCACGGTTCCAATTCACTTCAGTTTTCCACTGCAGGAGGGTTGGCTTGGCAAAGGCATTGCCGGGCTTGGAGAATGACAGTGACGTAAAACCAGAGAGACACTTTTTTACATTGTGTACATCATAATTTACTATGTGCTAATTTCAGCTAAGAAGTCTGTGAGAATCGCCATCTTAGGCTACATCTGCACAAATACTGCTCCGTGTCAAAGGCAAATGACGTAGCTATAAGAGTGGTTGTTAATGCATATATTTCTGACATTTTTCATTTGCACAATTAAACTAAATATTTTATAATATAATTTTAGAAGTTTTTTTTGTTGTAGCTTGAACACAATGTGTCATTTGTACATTTTTGTCCAATCAAATTTTTTTATATTTCTAGAAGTGGCAAAGTATATATTTGAATAATTTATTCTGACTTTGATTAGTCATAAAGTTCAGTTTTTATAAACGCTTGACTGTTGATTAATCTTACAACTAAATCACTGATATTTCGGTGCATTTCAACAAATCAAATGGTGGTGACAACCTGCTCGGTTTGGTCATGCTTTCAGCGCCGCTAATAAGCAGGGTCATGTCAGTGTGGGTACAGCTTGGATAATTTACAATGGAAGACCATCAGTTTGCGGGATGGCTCAGGTTTGGCTCGGTACTTGGTGGCACTGGAAAAGTGCCATAAGTGTAATGTGGAGCAATTAACACTTTCTTGGAGCACAGATAATGAAGCTAAGATGCAGTCTCTGAGAGACCAAAATGATGTGCTAGGTGTTAGCAATAGATGTGACATGATATTCTCAGTCATGTGGAAGTCACATTTCTTTCAGTAAATATGGTAATTTAATGCACTAATGCAGGGGTGTCAAACTGAGTTACTGAAAAAGCTGTATTAGAAAAACCAACAAATGTGCAGGTCGACTAAGGCTTTCTTATTTAATTAACAGTTTGACCTAAACTTTGCAGTTTTTTGGTTGAAATCTTTACTATATGTGAATAACATTTACAAATGTGACCCTCATAGGAAACATTATTCCTGAAAATTCTCTTTTTAAATAGGTCTAAAACTAGGGGTGTAACGATATACTCAGCCCACGAGACGAAGCGATATTTTAAGGAAAACTTGAAAG